CCACTTCGCTGGTCGAGCCTTACTTATTATTTACTACCGCGTCCTGTCCTCTCCGTATCTAATCGCCGTCGGATCGCGGAGAGCGCGGGAGCGCGGGGGTGCAGGCGCGCTTAAAAGCGCGCGAGGGGCCCGGCCGCGCACCGCCGCCATGTCGCCCGCCGCCGCCGCCGCGCTGCTCGTGGCCGTCGCGCTGCTCGCGACCGCAGCCTCCGCCGCCCCGGAGCCCCGCGTGCTGGAGGAGGACGCCTACCTCTCTTGCGTACGTAACGGGCAGCTTGCGCACTACAGGCTTCATGCGGATTGGACGTACAGAAGTACACAACTGCGCGATTTCTCCATGAAAACTTTTCAGCATGTTCGAGTTTTTGCGAAAAGAAAACGTACAGTTTGACTATCACTTCTAGCGGCAGACTCGTATACTAACGGCGTTTTCTACGGCGAAAATCGTCCCTCCGTTCCAATTTTGTGGTTATATTAGGAGCGACCCGTGCAATTTTGTGCATTGGCGTGGGGAATTCGAGTTCTCGGCTTTTCCGGGGAGTTTATTTCACTCCATCTTGGAATAGGGAGATTTCTGAAGTTCGCTTTTGACGCCAAGACTTCCTTCATTCGGAATGTTTTTTTCTGCGCACTCTCTAAATCCTATGTAGCCTCAACCACGCTAGTAGACACAATGATGACGGCCTTTCTATTTCCACGCCACCGTATTTTGTTAATACTCGAAAAACGTTGATGATCTAGCTCAGATCGCGCGTACACAAATGATGGGAGTAAAAGTTCTCGGACGACGCAATTCAGGAATTTACCCGTGATGCCATTGCAGTGGCAAATCGTATAGACAACGTGCAGACGTAGACACACCTTTTGCATTTTGTACTTATAGTTTGGGCTTTTGAAGTTTCTGCATAGTTTTTGTATGAGAATCTGCACGAAAACTGTCACGAAAAAGGCTTCTATAGAAGAGCTGCTAACGGGCTGCATCTTCCAGCCAATGCCTTGCAGAAACCTTACTTTTTTACTCACATTTTAGTTTAGTCTGGCGGTTCCGGTGGGGAGGAAGCGGCGATTCCCTCAATTAAAACCTTAATATGTGCTATAAATAAACGTCAATGTGCTACAAACTGCTGTTAATTTGTGTTATTCGTAACAAAAATAAACTTTAACGTGGCACAGTTGCATGGCTAATTCATTCCTGGGAGTAGAAAGTTACATAAAAATATAGAAATTATTCCTTTTAAAGAAATTGTTTCAAGGCAACATTTTTTTTTGTCTACAATCGGATTGATGAAGTCATAGCAATGCACACACCCACCCCCAAAAAATGTCTTTAACGAAACGTTCTGGACGGATCCAGTAAAAAAAGTAATTTCTTCACCACTGAAAGGAAACCCGTCCAATGACAATGGGGGACAAGAACAGGTCTACCAACAACGTACTGACAAGCGCACACGTTACCAGATTACCAGATATAGAGATGCATGGAGCCGATTCGCATGACCTTACTTTCCCTTTTATATTGACTCTCATGGGACCCTGACCAGTATGATCTTATTGGACCTTTTACGATAACGTTTCTTTATGTAAATAGGAAGATGGGTGAATGCATCTTTTGGATGCTCTGAGCCGTAAGAACTTCAAAATACGACAAGAACAGAAAAATCAGCATTACACGTATCACTTAAGACCGATTCTGAAACAAAGTGTAGGTAATATGCACATAGATGCATCGAAAGGAGCGCGGTGCGAGTATATGCATTTTCTTATGCAGAAGCCTGTTTGGGCGTGCAAATAAGATGAAGTATTTGTTATCATTTATCGTCTTAGGCGTAGACAAGTTAGGCATAGACAGTTAAATTTTTTGACAGCCATGTCTTCTATATAGCTCAAAATCTCACATTTTAAGTTCTCTTGGCGCAACAACCCTTCCAATTGAAGTTAATGCAATCAGTATTGGCTATTTGAAAGTCTCGGATTCCATGTATTTCCGAATAACAGAATCAACGAAAACATTTTCAATATCAAGGATAAATTATTTTTATGGTTATTCATCTATTTTAAAGTAGATACTTTGTTTATGTATTGATTGTGAATGACTATCGAAACTGCCCGTTAGAATGAAAATATTAAATTCGTCACAAAAATAATTCAATTTAATACTATAACTTCATGATTCAATTTCCGATAGACAAACTGTACAAGGAGTATTAGGAGATGTTTCGTAAACAAAATAACGTGGATACAAATACTGTGAAAAGTTCCAAGCAGAAGTTATAGTAGATATTGTTCCGTTCATAAAGATTGTTTTGTAGTGATATTGTTTCATATTTTTTCATCGCTTGTGACCAATGATATGTATCTCGTCACTTCATCATCTATAAATCAGTAACTGAAATAATTCTAACAGCATGTTGGAGGTGAAGAGTGGTGTTTTATGGAGCTAATTAAAATAAAAAAATAATTACCTAGAAATACTGCTTTTGACTCTTGCTCCATAGTTTATTTTAAAAATTTATGACTAGAATTCAGTTCGCAATAATTAGATATTCATATATTATACTGGTTATTATGCACAACATTATCTTTCATTGTGATACAATATTTCAGTTATCTTTTGATGACAGAAATAAAGAAGTACCTTTGACAAAGTAGAAATTGACTGTGATAAACTAATTTAAAAGATGATATATCAAGTTTTTGGACAAATCTTAATTCTATTGGACAGTGTACTAAAAATAAAAATTAGTGAACATATCAAGGTGGAGTGAAATTATTGAAAATTAATTCGCTTTAACCCAACAGGAAAATGATAGACATTTCTGAAATGTGAAAATAAAGATTTTATTAAAACAATTAAAAGTTCATCTCTTCTACAGCCGGAACTTATCACAAAGTACGGGTACCCGGTGGAGCAACATGAAGTAACCACGGAGGACGGATACATCCTCACAGTGTTCCGTATTCCGTATGGGAAGACATCGACAACCAAGACAGCCAACCGTAAACCCGTCTACGTGCAGCATGGCCTCCTCTCCAGCTCCGACGACTGGATTCTCGCCAGGCCACAGAGGGCTTTGGGTAAGTTTAGGCAAATACACTTCTTTACTTCGCGGCGGTTCCATACAGAAAAATTTTGAAAATATCCAATACTCCACTAATTCATTGAAAATTAAAATGACGTGAAAATAAATAGTTCTAATGCATACCATTTCCTTGTGTGGTACGTTATTTGTTATAGTAATTATTAATAGGGTCGAAATTAGTTTAGTTTCCTGATGTTTGTGCCTTATATATATATATATATATATATATATATATATATATATATATATATATATATATATATATATTAGTCTCAATAAGCGAATTTAGTCTTCATGCCAGGATTCTCAGTTGTTGGAAATATTAAGAAACAATACAATTCTTTTTGTATGTCATATTACATTCATGAGGTGTACTACCGATATAAATGAAAAAACCCTAAATAATCAAATCCAGACACTCGCAGATTGTTACTTTGCCGTTATCATTGTGGCTATCTGCATTCATATAATGTATTTATACAGTTTTTTAGTTACTAATTAGTCAAAATACGAAAACTGTGTGAGGCGAAGCATAAGTTTGTCTATGAAATTGCTTTGCATAAAATACATTATATTCTTCGTATCGTCGTATTCGTCCAAGTGAAGAGCTCCGCCCTCACCATTTCATCTAAAGTAGTGCACACTGGTCCCGAAAATTTGCTTGTGAACAAAAAATGCTTATTTTTCCAACCTTCATATCTGTTTATCATTCTTAATCAGATAAAAGTCCATCAATTCGCGTAATATATTTTGGCTTTCCAATTAACCAAATTATTGAATAATAAAACTCAATTAGGATTCATCGCCTACACTTCAATGGTACATGAAGAAAAGTAAGCAAGAAGGGAGTACGGTACAAAGGATCGATTCTCATCATCGTTACATTTTATGAATTCGTGTGGAGAAAATGTGCCATACTGAGCTGGTTCATGTTCACCTTGCGATGAAAAGCGTGAATGGCAACTATTTTAGCAAAGTTAATCATCATCTTTCAGGATACATACTAGCGGACGCTGGCTATGATGTGTGGCTGACTAATGCAAGAGGAAACAAGTGGTCCCGCAGACATGTTAGCCTCAATCCTGAAAAGTCGGCATTTTGGGATTTCAGGTAGGTATTCGACTGAAAATAACTTTATTTCCATGAGTGGTAGAACCCATTTACTTTCACATAAGCGATATTATAATATATTATTATCATTATTATTACCGTTATTATTATTAGTAGTAGTAGTAGTAGTATTATAACCATCATCATTATTTACTTTATTATTATTATTATTATTATTATTATTATTATTATTATTATACTCGTTTCATTATCGTTGCTTCAGACAAAAATTTACACGTGGCTTTTTGAGATCTTACTACTTCCATCGATTTGGTGATATACGAAATTGAAAGGAGCAAATCCTAAATTCTGTAGAGAACTATACCATTTTTTAATTCTAATACAAGATGTGGTGGTTTTCCAAATTGCAAGCTTTCAATCTGAGAAAAAAAAGTTTTTTCGGAACTTGCTCCACTGAAGTATTCTGCACATTTAGCGTCAATATTATTATCACAAGTATCACAAGTAAAAATATTTATGAATATTTGAAGTAGGTTTGCCACCAAACATTGACGTCATCTCGATTATGTTCCACAACAACACATTCTCAACTGATAAAGTTATTTTGATTAGCAATTGAAATTAAACGATAGAGATAACACATCACAAGTTCGAATTATCAGTCATACAGAAATAATTACCGATAGATACTAACATAGTCAACCAGTAATCTTTTGTTTGGAATTCCCAAATCTGAATTCTGATGGTCTGACTTCTGAAGAACCGGTACTTTAAATTCTTGTCAATATTCATGTCATTAAACTTTTCAATCGGATTCTTAGACTTTGAAATGTTAAAATGTTAGAAATTAGCGTCGAGAATATCAAAATATATTTGAATAAAGAAAATCAAAAGAAAAGACAGAACCTCTTTGATAGTTCTTTAACGACAAACAGTATAGTAATGAGAACTAAGCCTAATATTACGAAGATTAATTTACCACGGAGCTTTCAAAAACAAAATGTTTATCTCTTTATTTTCAGAAAGAACACGTTTTCAAAACTGAAATGCACCAATTCATTCCCTTTTTCAAAATCTGAAAACTCTTTTATTTTAACCAAGTTTAATATTAAGTCGGTTTTCATACTTTACCGTGGCAACATCATTTACGAATAATTCATTCATTCCGCTTACAGTTGGCACGAAATGGGCGTATACGACTTGCCAGCAGTCATCGACCACATTTTGGCCGTAACGGGTCAAGAGCAGCTGCACTACATCGGCCACTCCATGGGCACCACCATGTTCTACGTGATGGGCGCGATGCGGCCCGAGTACAACGCCAAGATCCTCAGCGCACACACGCTGGCGCCGGTGGCCTACATGGGCAACACGCAGACGCCCCTCCTCAAGGAAATCGCCGCGGGGGCCGACGGACTGGGGGTGCGCAACAATTAAATAATTGGTTTGGCATTTTGGGGCGATTGTCCGACTTTGCCACACCGCTAACGGTGTCCCCCATGCCCGGGCCTAGTTTAATTCCTTCATCGAAATTCGACGAAATCCCTTCATCGTAACTAAGCTACAGAAATAATTACCATGTTTTTAACTTTTGCGGCTTTTTATTATCTTTGCCGAATACTGCGCCATCTATCACGAAACCAAAAAACTGTTAGACACTAAAGTTACGTTTCTTTGCGAAAAATCCTAATCTGAAATAATATGAAAAAAACGGTGTTTCCCATTTAACTTTTTTATTTCTACCCGAGGGGATGAAGGAGTGAGTTAGGTATCATGGATTCCGTCGATTCGAACAACTTTCATTACCCTCTTTTCTTGATCCGGCTGGCACTTTTCGAAATTTTTCCAAAACCAGTTTTAAACGGAATCCGCGGTATTTGTACAGATGTTGGTAAATAGCAAACATTTCAGTTATATGTTCAAAAGCATGTTTAACTCTGTGTTCACAGTCAATAGTGATTATGTAGTTCCAAAATTTGTAAATCTGTCATTTCATTAGCCTTGAGCAATAAGTACAGAAGGATGTGAAACAATATAGTCTGGGAGACAACGACGCAAAATTTATAGTGCTCAATGAACGGTTAATTTATTATTCTCTAGTTTGTTTTAATGCCAATCATGGCCAAAGGGAGTGTCACTAGCTCTATTCCCTCCATTCACCCTTATTGAAATGGGTAGGACCTTCAGGTAACGTACCCTCACAAATTAAAACAATATGCATCAAATTCGAGGAACCTCACTTACATTGATTGGAGAATATTCATTTCGCCAAAAACCTGTACAGTTTAAGCACTAGAGTTGTTTTCTGGCAGACGCGTAAACGGTCAGACACTTTTAGAAATACATAATTTTCTCAATACTACGTAGAGTACTCCGTATATACGAGAAAGTAAAAACATTTTAATCGCCATACTCGTGCGTATTTTCGTCCAGCTTTACTCGCATATTAAATGTAATCTAACAATTATGAATATTATACTTATTTTATAATAGTTCCATTCGTAAATAAATAATAATGAAAGAATAAAAATAAAAAGCCATTATCCTGTATTAATTGCATTTCTAAGAATTTAATTATGAATTTAAGAACTGAGACTAAAAACATCAGTTATTAAACTATGTTTTGGAGATCCGTTCTTACTTTAATACAGTACAATAACTAAATACTACTTCGAGTATTATATAATACGTTTTCTAAATTAGCTCATCTTGTAATCACTTTGAAAGGTTTGTATACAAATGTTGCGTTCAAATTAATCCAATTTTTAAACTGCTTGGTATTAAAAAATTGTGCAATTTAAATTGTAGTACTGCTACCGCAAAAACTAAACAACCACTATTAAGCCGGACAAAAATTTACTACAAGTGTAAGTACAATGATCCTGAATTTATAAGTAACTACACTAACAATTTAAAAGAAGAATACATATCTTTAGAGAGCTGTCAGTAGAAAAAGAGACTGAACTCTCGCACATACATACATACATACATACATACATACATACATACACACACACACACACACACACACACACACACACACATATACCTATACAACCCATAGCTCAACCAAATGATATCTTACATGTTCACGAAAACAGCTGGTTAGTAAGTCTCGACGGAAAGCTGACGCTGTTTTCTGTAGAACGCACAGTGCAGAGGACCAACAGCGATTTGAAATCGCAATTCTTTTTCAGAACAAATCCTTGACATTTAGAGCAAAACAATGTGTGTGTGAAGCAGTTTGTGCTCTCCCGTGGCTCACTTTCGATTTTTTCTCGCAGGTGCTACTGAAGCTCCTGGGCGTGAACGAGTTCCTGCCCCACGCGGACGTCTATGGTGTCATGGGCGACAGATTATGCAGCGACACCGCACCCACACAATCTGTCTGCTCCAACGCCCTGTTCCTAATCTGCGGCTTCGATTCGGAGGAACTCAACACGGTAGGAATAAAGGCTACTAAACGAATGTAAAAAATAGAACTAAAGAAGATTAATTGCACGCAGAGGAAAAAATTTACTCAGGGTTTCATACATTAGGATCAATACCAATTCACTATAGAGTCCCGCAATTGTCTCTCCCGAGACTTTTCTAAGACGTTTTTCATAAATCCTAAATCGGATACGCGGGACGGTTGAAAATCTTTAGCCATCACTTCCCTTAGTTTCAAAAAATTTAATATGACCTTATTTCAAGAAATGTGTTTAAAGAATAGATACAATTAAGAAAAAAGTGTATTTTCGATATTGTAGTTGTAGGAATACGACCCCAAAAAAATGCATTTTTGCAATTTTCGAAAAAATTGTAATTTGAACGATGGACACCGGTTCCATTTCTTTAAAGTGTCCTTTACGCTATCTGAGGACAAAATTGAATTTAAAAAAAAAGAGCCACTTTTGATAAAGTTTTGAAAGTATTGTCGAGGCATCATGTAAAGTACTCTCAAAAATCAAAATATCCATTTGAAACTCCCAGAGCTTTGACTTCGTTCAATGGGAGAATAACAATTTTGAAGAAAATCAGCAGAACGGTTTAAGCGCTCCTTTGACCACAGATGGACGTTTTGCCGTCAATCGATTTTCCGGTATCAAGAACCCAAAAAACATACGCATGGTTACACCACATGTTGGAGGAAGTACTTTATTATAGTATATAGTGACCGGATTTATTCACTTTTTCGCTACCAGGGCCCGCCAATAAGCGTTTTTACTTGAAAATTCGCCGTTTTCTGGCGCACTATTACATAACTTTCTTTTCGACGAAGTAAGAGCAAGAAAGTAATAATGTAAAAAATCGCTTGTTCGTTGATTAGCGAGGTAAGAACCAATTATTGCACAATCATTATACAAACCTTTTTATTTTATGTCGCTTTTTTACTGTCTTACCCAGCTAGACGTTACTCAAGTTTAACAACCATCACATGGAATTCGTATATTTTTTCGTTTATACGCACATTGACACTGAAAGGTTTTTATAATTTAATAAACGACACGATGAAATACCGCAGAGTTTGTTGGTCCCAATACGCAGGTTTCCCTCACGAAACCCGCGTCGGACCCGCGTCGAACGAGACGTACGCCCAATTGTACTAAAGGCCACTGGACCCTACTCACATCCCACTTACAAGGGTTCCTCTCCACACGACACCTCCCTTGTCAGCTCACATATCACCAGATGCGTACACAAATTACATGCCCCTGCGCCACTATCAGTTCACGAACGATGGGATTCGTATCATTGGAATGGTGCCTCCACGAGGGTATATCCATTCCCAAGCGAGATTTGAACCCACAACCCAACTGAACGAGACCGCTATCATAACCACTTCAGACATTTTGGTAACCAGGGCTGATTCGATTGATAAAGTAATATTTTATGTTGAATAAAAATAAAAATTGAAATATATAAAATTTTAGGTTTAGAAACTGAAATTGTTCCAATATTTTTTTAGTATACCGACCTCGAAAACGTATTCCTGTTGATTTCGTGAAATGTATTTGCATTGTGAGAATTTCATATTCTGTGAAGGAAAATAACAAATGTCTTGCTAGTGGTCTAATGAATATTTTTTAAAACTAATATTCCGCACAAAAGTTTGACTAAAAATCTTAACATAAAACAATGCTTTATGTAAGTTTTTATTTACTAAACATTTGTTTAATCTTAGACTATGCTGCCGTTAATTATGTCACACGACCCCTCTGGATCATCGGTGAAGAACTTGCTGCACTACGCTCAAAACATTAAGTCAGGTAGGAAAGTGAAGTTTGAAAAATAGTAGCCAATATTAACCCTGAAGAAAACACTACGTACTCTTAAACACTGTATGTGTACTTACAGGAAAATTCCAACTGTATGACTACGGACCAGTCAAAAATTTGGCGAAATATGGTTCTTTGAAAGCTCCCTCCTATGATCTCAGCAAACTCACTGCTCCAGTTGCTTTGCATTATGCAGATAACGACATAATGGCAGTACCTAAGGTAAGCAAAATGCGCTTTCTTTTATGGATAATTGTACATTGTTTAACTTTTTGATTCTCGTATCTTTAATAATTTCATCAAATTTTCAGGACGTGCAAAAACTACAAAGAGAACTCCCAAATATGATTGGGAAGTTCAGAGTATCATTCTCAAAGTTCAATCATTTGGATTTCCTGTTCGCAATCCATGCTAAGGAATATGTTTATGATCTCGTTATAAGACTGATGGACCGATATTAAACACCATATGCAATGAACAATAGATATGTAATTGTAAAGTATTAAACTTTTGTTAGTTTTTTATTTAATAAAATAGTTCCATTTATATATGTATAACCTCATTCATATTCCACATTCTCAATTATGAACTATTCCACATCCGCAAGACGCACAGGAAGATGATAATGTTGATAATGATGACGATCACAGATAATAAATTCAGTACATAAAACACTACGCGACTAAAAAATTGACTACGTGACTACTAAATTATATACAATTGAATACTTTACGTAAATTTGCATATTCTTAAGATTGAAAAACAATTTCTTTTTGTATGTGACAAAACTTAGTCTTATGTATTAATTTCCAAATTAGTATAGATTGAAACGACAATAAAAAACAAAAGACCTTAAGACTGTCGAAGTCTTACAGATCAAATAACTGTAATTTGTCTCCTCACTAACACTATAAAAATACGCAAATTGGTCACATAAATATTCGGGTGTTAAATGAATTTAAATGTTTTAGAAAAAATATACGCATTAAAGTACCGGCCCGAATAGCTGATGTCGCTAAAGCTCAAGAGCCGTAGCTGCCTAGTGCTTAAAGAGTCGCGGGTTCGAGTCCCCCCCTCGGGGCACGGACGATTAAAAGTTTGATCAAAAACACTGTGTGTGTATTTATATATGTTTGTAATTGTACATTCATTTTTATCACTATTTCATATCTCATCCCCCGGGCTAACAACCTTAGGGAGTAAAAATGGATTCAGTTTACAAATGCTGATCCCCCAAATAAGTTACCTGAATATATCTCCGGAAAATTTCACTGTGGGATCGCATGTTCGCGTAGTCCAAAGATGACCTATTCGCGACCAAAAAAGTACTTGAAGTACTTATTCTGGTTAATGGTCAAAACTTTAAATCGTATAACGTTTAATGGACCAAAATGTTGTACTACTGTACTGTCACAATGTAAGAGAGAGAGAAAAAGGATTGGAAAAAGAGAAAAACATAAAAAGAGAAAAAGAAAAAAATAGAAAAACGGAAAAAGGGGGAAAAGGGGAAATGGAAAAAGAACGAGAGAAAAATACAAAGAGAGTAGATGACTAGGAGAGAGAGGAGAGAGAGAGAGAGAGAGAGAGACAAGAAGATAAGACACATGTGTTCATCCATACCGTCATGTAGGAAAGGCTGGTTAATATCCTTTTACGATACTCTTAGCAAAGAAGCAAGATTAGCGGAATAAAGATGCCACTTCGGAATAAAAAACTTGTGGTGCTACAGAATGGCACAGTCTTTCCCGTATTCGTTTTCTATTTCCTATGGCCTCGGCTAGCTACTCGTACTCGCCACATACTCTTGCCTGATGCCATCTATCACGACACAAAATACATTTTTAAGATCTTTTCTATGTTTTCGGTTTCCTAATAGTAAAACAGAAATATTATTTTAAGGACATTAAAGATCAGTAAAACCTCGTCCTAAATGGCAATTTTCTTTGAAAAAATTGGAGCCGTTAATGAAATGGCGCTTAAGCGCTAATGTGAATTCGAAATTTGAAGCTCTTTTGTACAGACAATTTTTGAATTTCCGAAAAATTTCATTTGAAGTCATTTGAAGCACTTTAACTCACAAATACAGCAGTGTTTACAATTTTTTGTAAATTATATTTTTGTAAGCATATCAACGGCGTGAGAGATCTTTCAAAGAAATTACATTTATGTAATTTCTGAGAAAACAAAAGAATATACCACAATTAAATTTAAAGTCGTAATAAAGAGCGCAATTATCACTATCCGTTCTAAAAGAAAGAAAAAAAATTGAGCAATTTTTGAGAAAATAGCGTTTCAGCGTTTTTGAAAATGCGAAATTTTGAGGTAGTTTTCACTGAAACCCTGAGCTTTTCGAAATCAATAGTTTTCTGCGAAATGAGGCTCAAATTTCGAATTTACAGTACGTTTAAACGCCATTTTCTTAAATACCGCTCCGAAGGTTTCAAAGAAAATTGCCATTTAGGATGTGGGTATGGTTGCGGAAGCTTCCGCGGGCGGAGTTTATGTTGCCTAGGCTATACGGGACGAGCCGCGTCACTGTCATGGTGGTTAACGTTTCGGCGAGCGTATTGTGACCTTTAGAGCGTACTGCGTCAGCAGAAGGCCTAGCCTAGACAACATTTAGGATGAGATTTTTCTGATCTTTTTTGTTCTTAAAATAGTATTTACATTTTGTTATTAGACAACCGAAAAAATTAGATTTTTTTAAATGCAATTTGGGCGGCTATTGATGGCAGCTGGGAAGAGTATCTGGCAAATCCGAATAGCTTGCCCAGACCAAAGGAAATAGAAAACTAATACGAGAAAGTCTGTGCTATTCTGTAGCCTCACTAGGTTAAATTTTTGCAACTGATCTGATGTACGGAGCTAGATTTCTGTGGCTGCAACTTATTACAAAGTAAGTGTATTTATATATTATTGCTCCCAACATTTATTAAGATATATATTATAATTTAGGTGTGTAGTTTCATTTGCGTTGTTACGTGCCGGTAAATAGCCATACATATGTTGCAAATATTTCAGCTGGTATCGGGCATGAAATGGTAAATAAACTTCAAGTTTTTTAATGGCTTCTGACGTTTTGAAAAAAGAAAGGGGAAATAGGTGGCAATTGCGATAAGGGAGGTATGAAGTTGGCCAAGGACAAAGTTATTTCCAAAGAAATGACAATACGTGCAGCCAGTGCAAGATACTGTGTTCTAAAGAGTTCATTAGGAGATCGTTTCAAAAAATTTTGAAATGGAAAAAGGCAACAGCCAAGCCTCGCAGTTAAGAGAACAAAAGCACGTTTACTAAAACGTTTGATTGTTACCAAGAAGAAATTCCATACAATGACGTAAAGGCCTTGGATAGTCAACTAATGCCACTAAGCAAACCTGAATTTTTAAAACTGGCTTACAAACTTGCTGAAAACCTAAAAAAACAAACACCGCTTCAATAAAGAAACGGGTATCGCTGGGGAAGATTTTTATTACGACTTTATGAACCGACATCCAGACTTAAGGTTGAGAACAGGCGAGTTGACAAGCCTACGGCGTGCTGTTGGTTTCTGTGAATATAAGGTCATCTTTTGATAAGCTAACTGAGCTTATGAATAAATTTCCAGTCAGGTATATTTAATCAAGACGAAACTGGTGTATCTTGTGTACCCAACAACAGACTGAAGGTCATGTCTGTAAAAGATAAAAAACAAGTTGGAAAATTAACATCTAGAAACAATGTAACTATTTTATTGTTAATAAATGCAAAAGGCGATCAGTTCATCTCCTTGTTTGCATTTCCTCGTGTGAGGACTGACACCGATTTAAGAAAGGAGGCTCCTCCAGGAAGCACTTTTGATGGGCAGATGAATGGGTGGATCTCCAAAGATCGATTCCTTAACTGAACGTGTAAACACTACTGAGAAGAGCCCTCTGCCTCCTCACACTTCACATAAGATCCAACCATTGGATCGTCAATAATGAAATCATTTAAAAATGCATATAATAAAGCATTTTATTTTAGAACAAGGAAGTACCCTAATATGAAAATAACCCTGAAAAATATAGCTGAAAAGTCTGGTGAACTCTGCTTTTTCCGGAATAGGCAAAATGGAATCGGCACAATATGGGTCCCAGTGCACTGGGATTTTCCACTCAATCGAAATATGTTTTCTGACTTCGACTTCGCAGGGTTACTGATCAGCTCAACTCCAGAACCAGAAGAGGGACCAAAAACTCAAGTTAAGACCTCGACCAATCCTCACCAAAAGGAACTTCATGAAGCTGATGTTTCAAACTTGACTGACACCTTCCACCTTCTTTAAGAAGCGGGTCTTCACCACTTTCAATCCTACATTCCTACATATTTACAGATCGCAAACTGCAGTATCTGTGGGGAGTCTTTTGATGAAGATTGTATTCAGTGCAACTCATGTTAAGGCTGTATCAATGAATAATGTGCCAATGTTTAAGGCTCACGGTATTATTGTAATTTGTGTAAAAATTATAAATCAACATTCTTGATGACTATCAAAGAATTTTAACATTTTTTACTTTATTCTTATTTTACGTTGTAAAATAAGGCCGAATAAAACTGCACTTTGTGTATTTAAGAAGTTGTGATTAAACAAATAGAATTCGTAATTTGTCCTGTTATTTAATTGCTTCAACAGAAAATTTCTAATTTTTTACGTCTGTCCCATACCCCCTCCACTTTTTATGGACAATAATTTGCTGCATCTTCGTTTTATTTCAAAACATATAGTGTTAGTTACTATGAGACCATCACTTTAAACATGTTGTGTATCAGACAACAAGGTATAATTTTCTGCGTTAAGTAATTGGATACAGTTATTTTTCTGCCTGACAACATTAAATTATTGCCACAAAATGGCACAAACTTTCTCGGTATTAGTTTTCTATTTCCTTTGGTCTCGGCTAGCTATACGAACTTGCTGCATACTCTTGCCAACTACCATTTATCGCCGCCCAAAGTACACTTTTTAAAAAATTTCTTAATTTTTCAGTTTGCTAATAGTAGAACCAAAATATTTTAAGAATATTCAATAACAGAAAAACATTGTCCTAAGAGGTAATTTTCTTTGTAAAATTTGGAGCAGGGTTTTGAAAACTGGCGGTTAAGCGCTACTGAATTCGAAGTTTGAAGCTCTGTTTCACAAAACAAATTAGAGTTTTCTAAAAAAATGTGAAGTCATTTCAAGAATTTCCAGTCACAATTTGCAATCATGTTTACAAATTGCTGGAAATGTGCATACTAAAGCCAAGAGATATCTTTAAAAATATTATATTAATATAGTTTTTGAAAGAAACAAAAAAATACCCCGAAATGAACGTTACATCATATTAAAGAGAGCAATTAGCAATATCTCTTCGCAAAGCTTAAAGAAAAAAATTGGAGCCTTTCAGAGAAAATGGCGTTTGAGCGTTTCTGAAAATGCGGGATTTTGAGCTAATTTTCACATAAAAGAGTTATTTTCGACAAACTTTTTATAACATTATTTAAAAGACATGAACTCATAAATATAATAATGTGAACAAATCGTGGCCAATATAAATACTAACGACGTGAGAGAGTGAAAAACATGAAATTTTTAAACAAAAAGTAGAGAAATATATTGTTTCTGTCATCTCATTGACTATATTTGGCACTATCCCTACCAAAAGTTTAAAGAAAAAAATTGATGCCGTTTTTGAAAAAAAATGTTTTTGGTAATTATTTTACATTGCTTGTATTTGCACGCAATATTGCGCGAAAACTTCCAAAAGTTTCAAAAAATATACATTACCGAAAATTCAGAGTTAACCGTAAAAATCGAACATTTGCCACTTTTATAATAGTATTTTACTCTATTCCTAAAAGAAATTTTTTTTTAATATAGAGCCATTTTTGAGAAAATTTTGAAAATGCACCAGGAGCTTCATGTAAAGTACCCCCAAATTTTAAAGAATGTTTTTCAAAATCTCAAAGCTTCGAGTCGAGCTAGATGGACAGGGGTTTCTCCAATTTGGAAAAAATCTTACGTATGATTCAGGCGCTAGTAGTCATCATAGACAGACACGGACATTTTAAAAAAAATCACTTTTTCGGTATCAGAGGTCACCAAAACAAGTATTTCTGTTGAAATCTAAAAATGGATTTTCCTCAACATTTCATAACTCTCCCAATACTACGTATATTACTCCGTATATACGTACGTACACGAGAAAGTAAAAATAGGCAATTCTCTAATTGAAATAAAGTAGCCAGTGAAAAAGAGCGCAAGTTACGAATATGGTTCACAAATGAAACAGAGAACAATGGATCTCGAGCACAAACACGTTTTTCATTTTTACTACCAGCCTTGTCTTTTTTATGTTTGCTGTACCCACGTCAATTTAATGCACACAAATGTACAGAACATTCACATGTAACCGGTATTTACTCCCCAACCTACATTACTACAATATAAACTGTGTGAAAATTTAAGCCATGATCTTTTAGTACCTCGTTTAACAATGATTCAGTAAATAAAATAATTCTAATGGCGGATTGAATATTTAAAGTGAAACAATCAAATATTTCGAGAAATCTTTGTAGAATGTGTTTCTCGAGACATCTTTGCATTTTGAAATGTAAAGGTACTACACGTTCTAATTACATAACTATTTTAATAAACACAAATACATATTTAACAGTTGTGAGATATTTCATACAATTTCCATTTAAAGGTTTATTTTCTAGACTATTGAAGCATTCATCATTTTGTGCAGCCTGAATAAGTACTCAAGGTAGGCAATGTGTTTAGTCCTTTACGAGAAACATACGTGACTACTTCAGTCCACTACAAGAATCATCTTGTGATGGAAACATTTCTCACTTTTTGCTAGTACTTCATTATTCAGTTGTTAATAATGATAAAATATTATACTTTTAATAGTTAACATAGTTAAATACAAATATTTACTCAAAAATCTTTTTAAAAAATTTCAATAATAAAATTTAGTGAAATAACAATTCTATTGAATCACTTTTATCTGGAGTATGGGTAGCCCCAACCAATCTAACAGAAAAAATGGGAAAGAATAGCGAATTTCACCAAGAAGTGTGAAATCACACATTCACTTTATAAATAATAACACTAAAAAACTCCAAAACTTAGACTGACGCAAATTCAATGAACTCAAAAACAATGCGTTCTATCAACTTAAAACTTAAGACAAGCAAGTGGAAGTAAAGATCGCGCACGCGGATCATGGCCCGTTTGTTAGGGCACTGCTTCGGCATTCGCCTGGTATTGATTGGAGAAAGCGCGGAAAACTACTATCGGAGCAACCGATCGCTAGAATTGTTTCCCCAGACAGCGACTGAACTTGTTGGAGCTATCTAGTCAGTGTCGAAAATCCTGCCACCACCCGGACTCGAACCTAAGACCTTCTGGTCAGATGCACTGCAGTAACATCAGGTGATGCCCTCAGCTATCTCTTCGGATCATTACTTCACATTCAGCTGGCTGCTCATTAACTCAAATTCTATGAAAACAAATTTCTCTGTTTTTAGTCTTCATTAGGATGAAGAGAAAAATGTAGGATGTTTGGTTTCAAATGCTATTTCTTGTACAATCACACCCGTGTGCTCAATATCACATCATAGTAATCAACATTCTTTGCAGTACTGCGTTGGACGCACTATTGTATATGTTGCGCAAAAGCAACAATAAAATCCTACTTTCAAAAGTGTACAACTCATTAACTCAATTACATTACTTCTCCAATCGAAACCGCTCCATCAAACTAATATGTAAAGAAGCGTTCCTTTTTTGACATGAATATTATGTTCCACATTAAATGTTTATCTTCATTCCACATAGGCAGGCTTCACTGTTCTTCCACATACGCACGCTTAGCTAATTGGCTACCCACGATTCCTGCAATTCTGAAAATTCCAAGCACCAAATTATACCAATTATCTCAAAAACAAGGAATTATTCAGTATTTAAATATTCATGTTCTGTGTATCTTCTCACAATTTCGTTTGAAATTGCTGGGAAAATTAGTAATTTGAGCCTGAATTATTAACTTTGCTATTTTTTATAATGACAAATTCGTTGATATGAAACTAAAAGAATGTAGGAAAATGTTTAAGGGGTTATAAATTCATATTAATTCCCTGGACTCTACTTAAACATGAAGACCAAAGAGAGAAACCAAAGACACCCCAAAACTCGAGAAATACTGAAGACAGCATATCTTAAAACGGATGCATTTTGTATGCTTTTTCCCACATCTTACAAGATTCGGCATTTCAAAGCAATATAAAATATATATGTTGGGTCAGAAGTTTGGTTTAAAATAAGTTCAGGTTTTAACATCAGCTGTTGGTAACGACACTGCAACTCCACTTAATTATTGGATCAGGTTCCCCGAATATTCAAATTACGTGAATAAATCTGCCATGAACCAACTGATTATTCTACAAATCACAGCTAACATCCTGATATTATCGCATCAAAATGTAGTATGTGAGGAGATACACAAATCGTAGGATAAGAGCAAAAACTGACGTATCTTCATAGAAAAACAAAATTTCAAAGACAAAAACCAAATTAAATTTCAAAGTAAATGTAGCTTCACTATGTGCACGTTTTGTTGAACTCTCCTTTTGCTTGTTATGGTAAGAGTAGATGTAAGGGCGAGTTACTATTTTGTTAGCAATGCAGAAAAATCACACTTGTAATTCGTTTACTGATGCAAATAAGATTTCTATAACTCGGAAACGAAAGTGTCTATTTTTTCAAATATTGCTAATATTTATTCAATTTTTTTTCAAATATTCCTAATTTTTAAAATTTATTTTTATTTAATCCTTTTTATTTTAAAATTTTACTCATCTTTCAACTATTTATAGTTAAAATGACGGAAAGGGATTCTGGAACTCAAGAAAACGTGCACAGATAATCTCCCCCATACGTCACATACTGTTTTTACTGGTTTTTGTGACAAAATAAATAAATCTAAAACAACAAAAGACTTCGCCCGTCAACATATAGTTTACGAAACACTTGACCTTTACATATGAGGCCCTGTTCTTGACCTTAAACCAGAAATTCTCGGGAAATCTCAGCTGGTATCTAATCGACTATCACGCGCAGAGTCCACGTGACCGCACGCGGCGCGCGAACAACAATAAAGGGCGCGGGATTGGCCGGGCTGGCCGCTCAGCGCCGAGGGCGACCGAACGCCATGGGGGCCTCCGCGACGCACAGCGAGCTGCTGCTGTTGCTGCTGCTGCTGCTGGCGGCGGCGGCGGCGAATCAGCTGTGCAGGACGACGCAGCTGCAGGAGGACGCAGTGCTCACGTGCGTAAGTACGCTGCGCTGTTGACGGTTGATTTGCAGCGTTGCGGATACTTCTCCTGATTTGGAAACGGCGGTTTGGTGCACAATTTGTAGGTGGTTGCAGTTATGACCCAGACAATTTAAGAAATAAAATTGAATCCCAAACCGGCTAATGTGGGATGAAACCCAACATAAGTAAATGGAACAATATTAAAGAGAGTGTTTCTTTCTTATGGTAAAATTAGGGAAATGAGAAAAGAAGATAAAAGAAAAACAAGTTGTACGAATAAATAATCATATGCTCGTTCAATCATACAGTTGTGCACAAATAAATTACTAATATCCATTAAGTCATTTCATTTTGAATCATTATTATCCCTAGTATTAATTAAGGCGGTTTAAGTGACCGGCTAACTTGGGGTGCCCTGGGCCCAGCTCTTATCTGTGGACAACCGTTGTGGTCCCCAACTGGAATTCCATCGAAGTTCTTGGACGGAAGGATGAAATGGTGCGTCAGGGGATGGGGGAAGGAGAGGCACTTGGCTCCCGTCCAATGACAGGCCAGAAGCAGCGAGCCACCGCGAGCAATCTGCCCCGATGGAATGCTATCATTAACCGGATAATGTTCTAAATCAGAGCATCCACGTGGCATACCCCGGGCCAGCGCCTATCTGCGGGCAACCGGTGTGGCCCGCTGCTTGAGTCAGTCCGACACAAGACCGGGGGGGGGGGTGATGTAGGGGAGGGGTAGATGAATGAGAGACGGGGAGCGGCGCTGCGCTCCAATGGAAGGGCGGAGCACCAGATCATCGCAGCATTCTCGCCCGCTATCATTAACGTTAATGTTCAAACAGTTCTTCTCAAATGGACGTCTAAATGCGTGCCCGCGTGGCGCTCACGCGTTGGCGCTCACGCGTTGGCGCTCACGTGGGCAACAGGTGTGCCCGCTGTTAGACGAGTCAGTCTCTTGAAGGGGGCGAGGATGGGCGTCAGAGCGATGGGCTCTGTTAGTGAAAGGAGAGTGACACGTGGCGGGCACTGTAAGTAGGGCAAACGGGTTGTCTGGCTAGTTGGATTTGAGCAGCTCTGGTAGTGACGACGATAGCAGTTGAGCTGCGGCAGTACCAGGAAACTACGCTAACTCTTCTCTTCTTGCACTGACCGAATGAGGTTTGCAGGACCCATTTATCATTGCTTCAAATTCATTTCACTTCGACATATACCATCAAACAAATCAGTCTTAGATATGGTTCACGGCTTTGTAGAATTTATAGTAAGTTGTGTCTTGTTGGCGTAATAAAATGTTCTCATGGAAGTTTGTTCTGATGAAAAAAGGAAAATGTGCTATGCTTCTATATTTAATCTCTAAAGTGGCTAATCAATAACTGTTTTGGGTGCAGAACCACTCCTCCGTTTTACGGTGTTTCCTAAAGCCTGGAATCCAAAAAAAGTCTTGAAAACAAATATATTTTCACTCTTTCCAATCGTGCTCAAGCAAGTGAATTCCTTCTTTACGCCGTAACTAACTGATGAGTTATTATAATTGATAAAAATCTCTGCAAACAAGTAGAAAATAGAATTTCCGATTATGAGGTATATCTGCTATAGTTTACATATGCGCAGTCTAGGTGTTAAAATCAATTGTGTTTTTTTGGAACATGTATTTGTAGCGTGATTTAGAAATATATGTTTAATTAATCATTTAATTTGTAAATAGTTTTGTTTAAAAAAATTAACAAGAAACATCCCACGAATATTACCTACTAGATAAACGTATTCACATATGTTATAGGTGTATTATTTCGTCACTTGCCATTCTAGTATCAGTTATAGTTTTAATTTGACGAACTGTATGTGACAGTACTGAATATTCAACGTTATAATTCTTCTTGAGATTGTTGTTCATTTGTGAATAGTTTGCGCTCTTAAAAAAATTCATATTTTCAATTTTAATTCATTTATACTTACAATTACTCAAAACTGTGTGTGAGTAGAGAGACGTACAGCGGAAGGTGTCTGTGAACACGAGAGTTTTAGAAAACTTTTCGTCTTGAGAGATGTGATATGATGTTATCAAAAGTTTAATTCGTCATTCGCTCGAGTGGACGATGAGGTTTTATCAAATATTGTTGGAATGAGTGATCTTTCAAATTCACACAATCGCAAGTGGATTTGGTGTTTGAAATAAATTATTTTGAATATATTGTGACGTAGTGATAATAGAATAATTTCAATAACAAATAAAAATAATAATCAAAGATTATGTAACAGTTACAGAATTGCTAATATTAAAACACTCCGGCAATTTTCCTTTCAGAACATGCTTATCGCAGAAAATACAAGCCACGCTGGATCTGCGCGTGTCGACCTCCGTTGTAGAAATTACGTCCATGGCCTGAGCCGCAAATTTAAACCTTTGGCACCGATGTAGCCTACAGCACGCACGAGATTGTCTGCCCTTACTCTCGGAATTCTCGCCCACATCCTACACCCTTGTACACACGTACAGCTTCCCGATGCAAACTGAATGAGAACGGGCGGCAGATGCGCCGCGTTAAATATTTGAGGCTGACACCCCACCATGTTCCAGGTAGGCTCGCCGGCTGGCGCGACTAGCAGTTTGGTTAACGCCCAACACAGGGTTCTCAGATTGGCTGCCTGCTTCCGTAAACGAGGCTCCGGCAGCATCCTCGGAGTTTACAGCCTCCGGTATTTGGCTCGCGGCATACTCGAGTCACACGCCGGCGCAACTCTGCGTATGTTCAGGTCAACCCTTCCTCCCCCGCAGCGTACTTTCACCGACCTAACGGTTCTGTCCCTCGTGTTAACGACGCCACAATATCCACTTACAGTAAATGCACAAAAACTCAATTTTAAATTCATTCTGAAATCAGGAATACAAAATCACAGCACAACGAACACATCAAACACATTTGTGACCGGAAATAACTCGTAGGCTGACGTTAAATGTGTGTACAGTAAAACAGTCTTGCAGTTCGCATATATTATTTTCTCTAAAGCCATTTTCCTTTCCAGCCGGAATTAATCACCAAGTACGGATATCCTGTGGAAACACACGAGGTGACCACAGACGACGGTTACATTCTCACGCTGTTCCGCATCCCCTATGGAAGAGACTCTGCCACCAAAACTGCGAATCCGAAGCCTGCGTACGTGCAGCATGGGCTGCTGTCGAGCTCTGACGACTGGATCATTGCGGGACCTGACAAGGCATTTGGTACGGCATTAACTTGACACACACTACCTATAAGAGAGTCGTTCGCGAAATGTGCACGGCAGGAAGCTGAGTGCAAGCGCGCAGGTTGGTAGGTTGGTAGCTGCCCCGTCCAAATTGCCCGTTAAGCGGAAAGTAGACCCTTCAACCCCGGGCCGCTCAAATGCAAGAATTTGGGCCTAACTGCCCATGGGTGCCCCCTGCAGTGGCCCGTGTCACGCCCCTTTCACTAGACTACTCTCTTTACCCCTTTATTCTCTATCAGCACTGCGAGCTGCACCTTCTCTCCCTTCTCCTCCTTCAGATGTCTTTCCCATCCGTCCTCTCTCAGAGGTGTAAGGGGTAAAAATATGTACAGCTATCGTCTCCTGTCTACCTTCCCAGTCACCCAACTTTTCCCCATCCTCAGAACTCTCTTCGGGTGTCGCAGAATTTTCACCGATGACGCGGTCATGGAGCTGAGCACCTGCATAAAGACGTGTGGCGGCAGAGTGGTTCGCTTTAGAAATAACGAAGTGCAATGAGTAAGGCCGCGTGCAAAAAAAATAGTACATGAGGGGTGTGTCTTGTAATGGCTAGCACATTCATCTTCCATCGCTGGAACGACGTTCGATCCCCGGCCAATCCATGTGAGATTTCGGACAAATCGAGTTCTCCGAAGATTTTCTCGGATTTCTTCTTCTGCCTCTTGTTCCACCATTTTCCATAATCAGTTTTTTCATCATTATCGTTATCACAAATTATTATCGTTTGATCATCAATTATGGGCTACGTCGAGAAAAAATGTTGTAGAGTTTATAAAGTAATTTTGTTCGTATTTTTTCAACAATTTTCCAATTAATCGCATCAGAGAGTTTTGTGCAACTTTTGTAAGATTTTTATGAAGCATTAAGTCGATGTTTCTATTTAATATTTTGTTTCGGGCCTTCATTAGATGGCAAGTATCAGTTCCATCGTATCTCAATTCATCGACTTCATTGCAATATTTTTCTAAAATACAAAAAATATTTAGATTCTCGCCTTCTGTAAAAGCGTATCAGTACACGCATGAAACGCGTATTTCAGTGTTCAGAGCGCACTTACTTAAATCACTCTGTACCCATTTTTCTTTCAGGTTACATCCTAGCTGATGCAGGCTACGACGTCTGGCTGGGCAATGCGAGAGGTAACAAATGGTCTCGTAGACACGTTTCACTCGATCCAGAAAAGGCGGCATTTTGGGATTTCAGGTAATTTGCTGGAATACTGTTTGCAAGAAGAAAGCGTTAAAATAGTTTAATACATTGTTCGCAACAATTGGCAATATGATTTGCCTTACACTATTGTAGGGCAATGAATGATCTACTGTGATTTAGAAACCAGGTTTTTCTAAATCTAAATCTTCACACAGCATATTGCTTTCAACTGTCTTATCTTATCAGTAAAATTCCAATTTATTTACTGCCTACCTCCTGTTTCCTCTCGAAGTCATTTTACAAGACATGACAAAAGAATAATCTTTGAATTATTTCTGTTTTTTTCTTCAGTTAAATATAAAAAGTTACGAAAAACTTTAATGCATCTATTCTTCGTAAATTTAAAAAAATAATAGAAGGGGAAAAAGAAAGGATTATTCGTAGATGGGATGAAATAATTGAAGCCACCTTTGTCAACTTAGATTGTTTCAGAAAGTCGGCTTTCGAGGGGATTGATGTCATCAGTCTCCACACATGTGGTGAAAGTCGAGAGATAGTGTAATCGCACGCTGAAAAAATCGAAGTTGACAAAAGTTGCTTCAATTATTCCATCCTTCAATAATGTCAACACCTCATTAGCATAGACGGGAGTGTTAAGAGCTGTAGTTATTAGAAATTTTCATATTTATTTATCAATAAAAATAGTAAAAATTATATGCGTGTGTATGTATGGGTGTATGTAAATTAATATAATGAATGTGTGTGTGTGTATGATATGAGGACGTTCATTTTGTACTTTTACACAATTTGTAGAAGTACTGACACTTATCATTCTTCACATGGTGAGCCGCCACTGCTTGGGAAGAACATTTGCGTTTCTAAAAACGCGCTTCCTGAATTTCGGTCGCACCAGATATAATTTGACAGTGCTCCGATTCCTAACACGCTGTCGATATTTGCATCGCATTTCTTTCTGTAAAGACCCTTTCGTTATTTTTATTCGAAAACTAGCTTTTGTTCTCCGGTGATTCTAAGCAGTATGGTTCTCGATTTCTCCCCTCATAGATACAAGCTTGTGGACGTCAAGGGAATGTGTAAAGTAACTGCTATTCAGCACCAGTTTCAGAAAAATTATATAAAATATTTGCCAATCTCACAATATGTTTACGTGTTTTTACATCCGAAATGATCCATTCTTTAAACAAATTGATTCTTGAATATTTTGACAAATCGAAACGAATGAGGGGATCCTACAAGTCATTATAGTTCGCTACAAAGCAACACTCGAAGAACGTTTTATAATGACCTCAATAGAGGAATGAAATAATTATGAGTCGTCATTGTTAACAATAATATTTATTACAATAGCATCTTTCGATGGCTTAGCCATTATCATCAGTTTTCTTGTACAAATAGAAAAACAAAAAATATTAAAACGTGAATATTTTTTTTTTGATTTGACAACCAAATTGTAATAAAATATTACTAATAATTTACAATTTTTAGAAAATATATTTAACATTTTAAGAATTGAAAGAAATAAGAGGGGGTGTTAAATCATTTATTACTACATTTAATACTTATCTGCCACTCAAACACAAGTGCGCAACCCACCTACCAATCTTTGAGTAATGGCAATGCAACTAAAATTAAGATCATGTCACACCAGTTCCACCATCGTGTCTGCAATATTTCCTCCTTTTATCTAATCAGGACACCTCTAAATAAGGGCCTCAAATACTGTCCTCCCACACCCCTTAACAACTCTCAAATAAAACGGTTATGTATCAAAGCAGACACTAACATCAATTTTCATAATATTTCCGTCGAGACCAAATACGACAGCCCACACTTTTAAAAACCACGCAGAATCCATCACAAAGCACAAGAACAAGGGACGTTCTGATTTTCACCACGGCCACCAACTTGTCAAAAATCTCACAGAATAATAATTAATCACATCAAAAGCAGAAAAAGGCAACACAGTATTGATTCTTAATAAACATGAATACAACAAAAAAATCTATGACTTTCTTCAAAACAACCAGATTAAACTTCCCAATGACACCACCAAGAAGTGCATTTGCAATTTTAAGCAAGAACTTAACAATTCACGAGCCCTTTTTCCGTATCCCTTCCATATTTTTATCTCCTAATTTCTGAAAGGATTGAAACTTTACAACCTTTTTGTATTCACTTATACTTCTGCAAATGCTCTATTAATTGTTTTGTATGTGAATCTAGCCTTGCATGCAAATCTAACATGTTTGTGTGTTTTGAATGTTTATGTGAATAAGGTTAGTTAGGTTTAATAAATCTAAGTTGTGGGTCACATTCATTTGAAAATCGGCATTTGCACACTTATGTAACATTCTATGTAACTTATGTAACACATAACGTTAATTCATTCTCTAGCATTACTCAAAGTTTTTGTATCCGTATCCACGTGAAATTCTTCAAGATTAATACGTTCCTAGGCAATATTGTTCGTAGTTTTCCCATTTTTTAAAAATACGTTAATTCAAATCTAAATTCAAATCCATCTTCAGCGCAATTTACTTGTTAATTAAATTATTCAATAAAGATTTCAACATCAGTGTTGCCAACGTCGTGAAAGAAAATTATGGCGTATATTGTTTGGGTACGGATGTTTCATTAATGCAATCTACATTGATCGATTTAGGAGGCGTTGGTCTAATTTTTGGTATTATCACTGAGATCGCAGCGGCGAAACACGAAAAAACACGTTTTGGGAAATTTAAATGAATTTTCTGGCCGGATCCGAAAACACATCAGTTCCCTATCAGGTGACCGAGACGCGTCGATTGCCCCCTCATACGTCTCTATTGGTGCACGGGCAGTGGTCTAGTCGCCATTGACGGAATCGCACACATCTGCACACTCAAGACATTTACTCGAATTATCATTATCATTATCATAATTATCATTATCAATCGATAACTACGGCAGCCAGATGGTTTCCCTCGGCTGGATTTTTTCTCCACAAAATTTAAATAAGTATGCTTCAAAGAAGAAAACATTTTAGCAGTTCACGTCTTTCTTGGGAGGATTATGCCACAAGATAATTGAAAGAAATAGAGGGAAAATATCAAAATCTTCGTGTATCACATATCAAAATGGTGTCTGTGTGTAATAAACATATGGCTATTTCGATTTATTTATCACAATTTACGATTTTCTTTATTGGTTTCGTCATTCACATTCTCCCTTCAAGAATATTTTAGTATGAAATACGAAAAAAATTATATTTTCTGTTCGTTCTAATGCACAATTTTCTAACCCGAACATTTCCATCGCTTAATTTGCAGCTGGCACGAGATGGGAATTTACGATTTGCCAGCCGTCATCGACTATATTCTGGCAACAACGGGCACCAAGCAGCTCCATTACGTGGGCCACTCCATGGGGACCACTATGTTCTACGTCATGGGATCGGAACGACCAGAGTACAACGCCAAAATCCGCGGTGCCTTCACAATGGCTCCTGTGGCCTTCCAAGCCAATAGCAAAACACCTTTCATCAAAACTCTTTCTGCGGCTGGAAAGCAGTTAGAGGTATGTTTGTGAATTGAACGATAGTTCAGGATCAGTAATAAATATGCACAAAGTTATTGAAAAAACGAATGTGGTTCGGGAGTTTAAGTCATTCAATAACTAGATCTACAGGGCAACGTTCTGAAGGTTTATTTCCCCTGGATCAGACTAACAAAAATATATTTTTACTGTCTATGCGTTCCTAGGTTTCCGCGGTCGGAGTCAATACATTATTGGCTATCCGGAAGGAGCCGGGTCTCGGTCATACGTGCTGACGTTTCCGCCATCTTGTTGTGGCGTTCTTCAGAGCTATACAACGCAGTATAGCTCTGAAGAACGCCACAGCAAGATGGCCGAAACGTCAGCACAATTGACCGAGACGCGGCTCGTCTCGGATAGCCAAAAATATATTTTTACTGTCTACAAACAAATAATATAAAACTACATAAAACTCTCTTTCACAACCACGTAATTTCAAGTCTTAACTGTAAAGCGGGTTGTAGTATTAATCACCACTACAGCGGTACGTAATCATCGAGCTAACAAGAGGAAGTGGTGTACTTTGTACCTATAGTGATTTAGACTTCACCTGACGAGGCAGTTAAAAACCGCACACAGTAGTTTGTTGATTTGCCAGTAGAGACAATTTAACTCGTATTGATGAGAGTTGCAGTTTTCCTGCGAAAAATAAATATACTGTTCAGCTATTGAAAGTATTTTCATCTACCTCTCTTTCTTCTCTAACCATTCCATTTTATTATTAGTATTTAATGGCAGTTCACTCATTTAAATCGTTTCTCTTCAAAAAGAGTTTAAAACAAGTGTAAACATTAAATAAAAATAACTCATTGTATTGTTGTGAAATATGACCAAGCCTAAGTGCTACATCTCATTAAATATATTATCTAAATGATTAAAATGTCAGTATGTGTGTGTTGTGTGGGATACAAAACTATTCGACTGATTTAGCTGAATATTCCGCATGTTGTTCTTAGTATATGTGCCAGAATTGTTTAGACACTCGTTTGTATAATATACAAAAGGGGTATAGCTTTAATATTAATGAAAGATTGAATTTACCCTTATTTCGATTTCTGCAACTGGTTTCTGTGAATCAATGGTTTCCGCAGCGTCCCTGACCGGAAGGTCCTGGGGTTCGTTTTCCGACGGTGGTGTTTTTTTTTTCTTTTAAGAACGGGATACTGCAATGTCGAATTCAACTGAGAGAGGAGCAATCTAGCAAACGGCTACTCTGATTGGCAGTTTCTCCGATCAATACCATCGAATGCGGGATCGGTACCTGAACAAACGGGCCAAGGACCGCGACATTTCCTTCCTCGTCCTTGTCACCCATTACTTACACACTTTTACACTTACATGTGCACTCCACTAACACACATGCCGGGGAAACTATATTTATTACTTATCCTTGATCCCTTCTTTCTCCACACGCATATTGTGACGTCATTGATACTCAGCGACCACAGACACACAGCTTTCATATAACAAATATATTTATTAACAAAGGAAACAAAACAAATATATACACTTAATTTCCTACTTACACCCTAGCTCTGATAGACCTACTATCCCCTGATCGTGAGATCGATCCAAACCCGATTGATGATCGGTTTCGATTGTGGCATTTGCCACTCCTACTTCTGAAGCGCGCACAAAGCCTAGCTTCCGTGGCCGGATGTCACGCTGGGACACAAAGTCCGTTCGGCTGGTTTGCCTCGATCGCAGGAGCGATATTATCCGATTGAGAATCGGCGTGAATCGTGGCACTCAACCACTCCTCACCTCGGAGCACGCACACAGCATCGCTCCCCCGTGACCGCAGTCACCCAAGGACACAAAGTCCTCCGCAGGCTTCGTCAACTCGTGACTTGCCTCGCGAGCCTGACTCGCATATGCACCGTCGTGGCGCCAAGTTTTGTGCACATGCACGAGGTTCTCCCACTGTCTCCAGAACCCTCCCAGTGGCTCTGTACACTCCGTTATGTAGGCGAGGCCCACGTGACCTACTACGTCACGCCACCCCCCTGCTTGTTATAACAGTGAAAGGTTTCTAAAGGCCGGAAGACCCCAAAGCCTTGTGTCTCCCGTTTCCGCGTTCTTGCCTTTACGGAAAACCCTTCTCTCCTTCCTGTGGTGAGGCTAATCCTCTACCAAGCGTCCCCAAATAGATGCCGTAACGCTGGCTAATACGTTACAATATGCACACATGTACACATCATACACACACACACACACATACATACATACATACATACATACATACATACATACATAAACGTGCTACACAATCACGAATGCCCAGCTGGGGCAGTGTTCCGCGAGTGGGAGATACACGGTTAAGGGGGATAGAATCTAGCGGAGGTAGAATACCGCCAACTCCCGAGGGGGAAACATGCACCACACGTACTGCACTAATGATCTCAGTAGTTGACACGCCCGGATTCACTAACAACCAACGAGTGAACAGGTGATGAGACGATACATGAAAGGTGCCCTCAGAAAACACCACTTCTTAGAGTAAAACCAATTGAAAGAAAAAAATCAAATTTTGTAATTTTCAAATTATAAATGATAATGTTATTGATGATAACATAATTTTAAATTCATCAATTCTTTCAAATATTTGAATTAGATTTGCTACCTCGATCAGTGAGAAAAATTCGTCTAATTTACACGCCAATGGTTACTAAAATATAATTTTACAATTCTTAAACTTGAAGTACTTTGGGTACAAGTCCACTAGGCATCTACAATTTCCTGGTGAGGTTTTGGCGCCATCAGCCCACGCGAATTCCATAAACCATCCTGGAATCTGAGGAACGCATGATTTCCGATGAATTTTTTATGAAAAAAACGGCACGAAGAAGGTGTCACACTCGGCAACCGCTGCTGTGAATCCATAGCGTGTATTTCTATTAACACAAAGATAACACTAATTACAATAAGGGATATGTTAAAAAAAATTCTAATAAACCTTTTGCTTGAACTGTAAAAAATATTTATTTTCACAAACCCTTTTAAATGGGGTAGCGTCCCTTACTGCGGCTACAAAAGTGACCACTTCATTTGAAATAGTAATTTATACTATTTTTCATTTTTAATAAAGACTTAAACGGACTATTCTATACTACAATTTTTTTATTGGAAATAGAGGGTTGGTACTAACGTTATTGACCCAATGGTCGCCAACTTCAGCCACACCACTGTATTACATTGCGTATTAAAAGAATTACTATCTGAAAAAATGTTACATTTTCCTACAAAGATTATTATTATAATACAGTAACATGTTCACAGGTGCTGTCGAAATTAATGGGTATTAATGAATTTTTGCCCAACACGGAGCTCAACGCAGTGATGGGAGAAAAACTCTGCAGAGACACAGCCCCAACGCAAGCCGTGTGTTCAAACGTGATCTTCCTGGTTGCAGGGTTCGATTCCGAACAACTGAACACGGTTTGTGAGAATTTCCAATCATTAGTTGTTCTGGCAAGTAAGGCGAGAGAGAGAATAGAAGAGATACTGTCAAGTACTTCGCAATGTCAAGATTGTGATGACTGATAGAAAGCTGTTAAAGAATGTAGCGGCGTCGTTTGGATATTATTTATAATAAGTATTAAGAGTTATAAAAAATGCAAAAATTAATGGAAAATTATATTTTATTGTAAATCTCGTTAAATAAATGCACTTATTAAATTACTTTTGAATGGCTTTTAAAGAAAATTAAAACTATATGGTCGATAAGATGTGAAATAACACTGTGTATATCTTTCTATTCTCAAAATTATCACAATACTATATTGTACTGTACAATATACATTGCACTATATTGCACAAAGTTAACGTTTCTATTTGTTTACTTTAATGTTTATTTTCGTCAAAATGATACATTTCTAAAGTGATAGATATGTAGAAGGCTTTTTCAAAGCGTTACAATATAATATTGGAATAATACTATCATACCTAAGCCATTTGAAACACCTGTACAAATATAATTTTTTTTTTTGCAGACAATGTTGCCTGTCTTAATGGCTCATTTTCCATCAGGTGCCTCCACAAAGAATTTCCTTCACTATGCACAAAGCATCAGATCAGGTATGAACTGTTGAAAAACTATTTTTAAATACAGTATTAAAGAACTAATTGTCGTACGAATTGCTGTCCAATAATATAATTAGAGGCATTGTCTTGGCCAACACTATTTAATACAAGAACAACTTTCGATGGTTCAGCCATCAACATCAGTTATCTGACACAAAAACCTAAAATATAAATCATTCACTAACAGATTATTGAAAGCTAGTAACATATTTCAAAATAAAATAAATTAATATAACATAACAAATTAAAGAAAGAATGGGAAATGGGGAGGACTGATACACTAATTTAATATTACAGTAATTGAGTGAATCTGTGCAATAAACAAGTAAATGAAAAATTTAGTAATAAGAACATGATGGGCAATTAATTAGGTATACATTTTCTACATCCAATGATTATTATCAATGCCACGCAGCAACATTTTCTAAGACTTGAAAAATATTTTAGTGCACAAGGAAAATAAATAGTTACATTCTCTTCTTCTACACAACATGCAAATAGATAACGTTTAGGTATCTGCTCCCCTCTTCTCCAATCAAGTGCTTTTCGAAAGTTCATAATTTTCAAAGCACTTGTACAATGACTTATATTTAATGACTTCTGTAAGGTAATAGAAGGATGCGAGGAACCCTAAAGCGAGAACGAGGACTTTAGAAATATGATAATGTGATTTAGAGTCAGAAACGAGAAGAGAAATTCTCCCCTGCGGAAAGAACAAGACATATTTGTGAAGATGATACTGAAACATGAGAACATTTGATTGATATATGCAGAAGAAGTTGGAAAACGGATAATCAATGGAGAGAGTAGGAAGAGGCAGAAATGCGACGATGAAGAGGAGAGGGAAATATGAGTTAGAAAGAAATGAACAAACATAATATCTTAGGATTTGTAGATATTTGGAAAGAGAATAAAATGAATGACTGTATGGTAAGGTATCGTGTTGGTTGAAACCCCTGATTTTTCAACAATTGACATTTTCTTCGGCAACTTCTTGCAAATACAATTATGAAGATACATTTTTTTCTTAATAAAATGTGTTCATCAAAAACAGATTTTAAAATATAGTCAAGCTAAATTTTTCAAAAATATGAGAATGTTTGGGGTAATTGCGTCAAAGTTAGTTGTCCGCTCTGAAAATCCTGCGCTTCTTGAACGTAATTTTAAATGTGTTTTGAGGCAGTTGGATGCTACTTAAGTTAGAATATGTATATTATTTCATATTTCTTTACTCTTTTCTTACATTGGAGCTTTTGTTATACGTTTACAAATAAATCGTTTAGAAATTACTTAAAACCTCTTTGAAATAAATATGAAATAAAGAGCTCTAACCTTCAGTGGCCCGCACCCAATTTACGTAGTTGGATGCTACGTAAGTTAGAATTTGTATATTATTTCATTTTTCATTTTTATTATTATTATTATTATTATACTTATGTTATTTCATTTTATACTGCGTCCTTTAATTGTGTTAAATGTGAAAACGAAGTTGTTAGATGGTGTTACCTAATGTAACGCCTCACAGATATCAGAAGGCGATAAGGGCGAAAGTGTTTCTTCCGCGGTAATATAAACGAATACTTTTAAATATTTGTAACACATTACAATATTATATTATTTTCTTTATTTAAATATTATTTTATATACTGCTTTTATATACTGCAGTATTCTGATATACTGCTTATTTTTCGCACCAAATGTTCTAAGATTTCAAATGAATTTTACAAAAAGGAATTCGGAGATAAATTGTGGTAAAATAGTATTACATAACCATTATCAATTGCAAAATATACGTGCTGTTTTAGCACCACTAGTTAAAGTGCAATTTGGCTTAATCAATAGTTAAGCGTTTTGTTTGGTACTATATTTTAAAGTTATTATTTTATTACAGTAATTTATTATTGTTTTTCAGGCAAGTTTAGACAGTATGACTATGGATCCATTAAAAATCTCAAGAAGTACGGATCTCTGAAACCACCAGCGTATAATCTCAACAAAATCACTGCTCCAGTAGCATTACATTACGCAGACAACGACTGGTTAGCTGTACCCAAGGTATGTTCGTTACCGTGTTTCTTTGAAATTATTACTCAATATATCTATTTTTTACAGAAATTATTATTTCATTTTCAGGACGTGGCCAAGTTGCATGCGAAACTGCCAAACTTAATTGGTAAATTCAGAGTTCCGTTTTCAAAATTCAATCACATGGATTTTATCATTGCCATAGACGCGAATGAACTGTTGTATGATTTAGTAATTCGTCTTATGAATCGTTATTGAGTAATAAATGAACCCAAATTTCTTGGACTGTATGTATATATGTACTGTGTTTTATTAGCCTGTTATTAAAATTTGTGTACGCTGATAAGCGTAAAAATCAAATCAAAGACTGTTTTTCTTGTGCATTGCTACCTATTAAAAAAATCCTTTAATGAAAGAAAATTCAATCTTTATTAATAAATCTGAATAATAAAGCAATATTCTACATTTTGATATCAATATTAGCATTTTACAGCAATCCTTAAATACCGATATTTGAAAAAAATTTACTTTTGTCCATCATTCTCCTGCCGTAAAATACGTCTCTTTATTCAATAAAACCGCTCTATCACGGAGTGTATACAGCAAAACTAGTAGCATACAATAAAAGAAAAGTTTTGTCATCCTAAAAAAAGATTCAGTGATATAAATACTATAGATATGGCTAGATTTTCCGAATATCAGTCGATTGAAAATAATGTTCTGTGCACATTTAAGAATTTCGGAATTTTAAGTAAAGAAGACAAAAATACTTCACTACATTTTGTGCTGATGTATGAGAAGATGCTAAAAGCATCAATGGCATCAACGCTAATAAATGTAAGACGTAAAATAAGTTTCGGTTAAATTCTGAGCATGTTTTACGAGATGCTGAAAATCAATTGGTTCCATCACACGTACATCGTCTTTTCAATAATATTTGGTGTAACAAAACGTTATCTCAGATTGTTGAATATACGGTTGTTTACTACATGAAAGAACTTAACGATTTCAAAAATCGGCAGACAGCGATAGGCAGAGACATTCTGAGGAGCCCAAGACTTCCAACCCGATTGGGTGGTTGAATGCTGCTAATCGAAGAAGTGTATGCACCAAATTTCAACTCTTCTGAACATCCGTTGATCCTTGACATGCTGGCAGAAATATTTTGTTTTCTTTCATTTTAAAAATAACAGAAGTTAACGTCTTCAAATAAAATCGATAACCAGAGTTCCATGACATTTTAGTGTGAAGTGGAGAGATTTAGTTTCAATGACCGAGCTACAACCCATAAGCCACAAATTTCACGTACAAAAACCGAACGCTGCGACTTGTGATGTATGGAATGTTGAAATACTAGACACCAGAAGAATGGAAAATCGTTGAGTGGAGTGGCTAATCACTATAATAAAACTTACAAATAATGAACTGATCCATTGATATGGTATTTCCGTGTGAAGAAAGGTACGTAAACTCCTTCAACCAAGAGGTAGAATATCAACAGCGACCTACGGAGGGAGAAGCAACAGAGAAGTGATGTAGAAAGACCTGACTCCCCTGTGACTATGTGCCGATTCAATCCAACTCATTAATGCCTTATTTTAGGTGGCGAGACTCAGGCTACCAGGTCTGCTCGTGCGTCTGACCACGAGTCCACCATATTTTGTTACGGTCCTTCCACCATCTAGCGGAGAAAGAAGGTATCACTCGGGCGAAGAAGTAGCAGATTTAAATTTTGTTCAAAGACCTCTTTCATGCATGATCTTTTACATGAAGTAAATCTACAACATGGGACATCCGGATTTATACCTCCAACGTAAAGCATTTGAAGGTTATTTTCGCTCTAACAAATCCATGGATTCGATCGGGTTTGAACTCGTTAACTTGAGTGTAATAGCCCGATATAACAACCGTTACCCACCAAAGTTATGTCAAATTGCAAGCTTTCATTAGCAGTTTAACCACTTGCATGCTGTCTACAAGCGAAAAATTCCGCGATACCATTGTGCCTTTTGAAACGTCTGTCACTCTACTCAATGATTTTTCATTAATCTGCGGTCCTTAGTGCAGTGCTTGTGGTGGATTAGTTTGATGACAGCACAGTCGAGCTACTAGACTGGCCTGTAGAGTTCTGTTTTAAATTTGATCGCATATTTGGAACGCGAAATTCTTGCTAAAGCACACCTTTTTTATCTATACTCATTTTGGCAGTTCGCGAAACGATTGCCACTGGCATTTCCAGGCTCTACACGCCATCGCCTGTAAATATGTTGCAAAGTCAGGCAAAGTAAGTATGATGCAAAGCTAAAACACCGTTTACACGGAAGCAGATATCTGGCAGACTTCTCGGAAGATTGCGGCTGGTGTCACATAAAACGCAATAATTATAAGAGTCAATGCCAATAAAATTATTTATTTCAGTAACAGCTTTCGATGGCTTAGCTATCATCATCACCTACAAAAACAATCGTTTTGTGACTTGCAGGAAGCTGATGATGGCTAAGCCATCGAAAGCTGCTATTGAAGAAAATAATATTGTTGGCAATGACAACTCCTATACTTATTTCATTTTAAATGCCAACGACAACTCACAGCAAAATCGATAGTGGGATAAAACCTTGTGGACAAGCATAAAAATGCAGACCTCTTTCACTTTACGGGAGAGTTCAAGTTTAACCATTATACTGCAGTGTATTTTTCACAGAAAAATTAATTGCAAAGTATTGCAGGAAGAACGAAAAGATTTCACACAAAAGGGAGAAAAGAAAAAAATGTCACGAAAGATCAGAGAAAGTTGCGAATGAAACGGAAAGTGGAGAGGAAGTATGAAATGGGACAAGGTTATTTAAAAACAACATTAATATTGTGGCGTCATATCAGACACCTTGTACAAACGTACCAAATATCAGCCACGTGCATTTCATGGACAGCACTGGCGGAAGAGACGCTGGGGTGAACAAAGGCGAGAAGGGAAGGGGTGCCGTGTCGTGGGTGGCAAACTTGGGAACCCCGTAGGCGGCGGAAAGGCGGCAGCGGAAACAGCGAGATGAGGCAGTTCCGTCAGCCGGCCCAGATGGCATATAACGGAACCCGGACCTAAACATTTTCTTCTGATTCTTGGGCGCGTCGGTAGGAAGTCGTGTGGATTGTGCGCGGCGCTGCATGTTAATGCATAGGCTACTGAGGCAGGGGACTGAAGCCGGCGTGCTACGCCGACGGGAGGTGCGGCATACTCGCTTGTATGCTCACGTAGGCTACAGGTGCATCACACCGAATATGATATTTAATTATCAGGCCAGCGGTGGTAGTAACCAGGGAACATTCCTTCTAGTAACAGGTCAATATTGTTATTTGTAAATATTGTACATAGTATTCAGGTGTTGGAGCATTTTTATTCAAATAAATACTTAATATTTACAGACCGTTCACGTCTGTGATTTATTGTCCCGGCAAAGACGCCACAATATACTACAGGTATATTGGTATCATGGGGATAAAGATAGGAATGAAGTAATGAATTAAAACATTTTATATTCAATGCAATGTTTAAACAATTTATTCTCACTTTACGCACATGTTCCAATTATTTTCTACAGATGTATCGTATACGAGCGAAATATCAGATTTAAGTCAATAAATGAGAACTAGGAATATATACCTACAAATCATGACAATTGAAATCAAATTTACATATTAAGCAAACGCTGAATAAATAAATTTCAAATTTTGTAAACCACACTACGCCGGTATGTTTAAAGTACATGCCATTTTTTATTTATACATCAATCACAACACTTAACGGACACAAGACAAGTAGAATGGCAGAGAAAATAGATTGATAAGATATAAAAACAAAGTTCAATTTATATCTTTAGTGCAACAATGATATACCCAACTTCGTATTTTAAAGATCCACAAATATTTTAACTTATAAGGATTATTCAACAAATTCCTTCACAGAGTAACTCAAAAACGAACGCCCCGCTGCTCATGAAGCACCCGCCTGCCAGAAGGACGTACGAGTTTCTCAGGTCCTCAACTTCCAAAGGGAACAATCTTAGACGCAGGTCCTCGCGGGAATGATGTGCAACTGTTGCTACGCTTTCAGGATACTTTCAAATTCAGTAAGCCTACACACTGTTCGTTGTGTATATTTCGCGAATATTCATTCCCGCCTGAGACATGGCATAACATTCTGGCGAAATACATCTTACAGTTCCCAGACTTTTAGATTACAAAAACGAATAATAAGCAAATCCCACCCACGTGATTCTTGTAAGCCTCTCTTTATTCTTGTAGGTATTTTACCTTTACCTTTCTTCATATATGAATCAGTGTTTTTTGTCAAAAATGACTTTAAGGGTGGGAATATATTTTCAGCAAACGCAGTTGTCTATAACTACACCACTCGACGTAGTAATCATATTCATAAGGTGACAGTATCAACAGCACACTACAGAAATTCACATATAATGCATGTACATTGTTTTACAACACCTTGCCAGATGACATTAAACGATTAAATTCGATACAAAAGCTTAAGTTTAAAGTAAATTATTTTCTGTTGGACAACTGTTTCTATACAATTAGAGACTATATCGAGCACCCAAAAGGAAAGTAATATTAATTTTGACAATGACATTTAATGTATTATATACCATTTGGATTGTATAATTGTAAAGAACCTGTAACAAGTATTGTACTTCAGCTTCTGGGTCAATGACCACCATCTCGATCAGGTTTTCGTCCAGTTTTCCTGATTCTCGAGCAAATGCTGAGATGGCTCCTTGATTTTCTTCTGGACACAAATGTAACTTCAAATTAACTTCTCCCCATTGCACGCCACACACAGTTTTTGGCGTAAGTAAATAAATAAATAAAAATAAATAGCTTAATTTTTCGATTGGTTCGTATCTTCTTCTAAAACAAGAGCTTAAGTGCTACATGTCTTTGTTAAAAGTCGGCCAGGGTAAAGTAAACGATCCGCTATGCTGTGAAAGGGTATGCATATGTAGCTGATGTCTGACAGTGTTACTTCCAACAAACAGTCGTTGGTGCTTTGGAGCGCTCAAGTAGCATAAATTAGCAACAAAACAATTTGGAGGTAGAGATTGCAATCAGATGCTACAATTGCTACAACAATGGCACTGCCCCCACGGACGCGACAACAATGGGTCAGATATGTGCACAAAATTTAAGAGTTAATGTATTTCGTTTGTTTGTTCGTTTGTTTGTTTTTTCCCTTTGTTTTCTTTTTCTTT